TTTCCTTTTCAACTATGGGCTTCAAAAACATGAAACTCATGTTCCTTTCGATTGTATTACTATTTATAGTGACGGATGTATCATCTGTACAAATGCTTCTTGCTAAACCAGGACCAACATTCACAAAGAACCTATTAAACTTATCTATTAACTACATCCTCCAATCTATTGACCGGTCATTATCATTATCCATAAAATATTGAGGGTAGTTACTCTTGCTGGAACTGTTTCTAATCAATTTATTTAATATATTCCAAGTACCTCTCATGTTATTTTTATTATCCTCCAATACTTTAGAGTAATATAGTTTCTTACATCTCCTCAAAATCTCAATTAATTTGTTCTTATATGTGTCCGTTTAGCTGGCTACCAACATCGTCATCAGTAAGCGATTACACATGATGTAACAAAGTTGTCACAAAGCAAATTAAAGGAGGACTTTGACTGGAAAATAAACCTACTGTTACCAAACACTTCTCAGATTTGACTGCAACAGGAAGGAAGGGTTAGGTTCAGGTTATCCCAGAGAATCTTTACAGCTCTATTGTAGCCACTTCCTTTCGTAGACTTTGAGTTGTACAGTAATAAAGAAGGGGTTTTATAATAGGAGTCAGCTGCTGTTAATGAAGTCATTCATTTATTCCAAAGCTGGTTGTTTACATCAACCACCATGTACAAATTTCCTCATACATTCTATGCGTGTTAGATAAAAGGCTACAGTAACAACGCTATAGATCAAGCATGTGAAGAGCTTGTAAAACAACTAAAAAGATGTGGAAGTCACATGTGGTTTCACTCTTGGCTTACTGCAGCCTTCAAGGAAAGGTCTGGCAAATCCCATCCCACTGAGGCAGCACGTGGACCTTCTATGATGTAACCCAGACTGTAATGCTGTCAGTTTGGACTGTGGTTGGCTGTATGAACCTTAGATGGCCCACACCAGTGCGGTTACTTCGGTATAGAAGCTGTGTATTTATTGTGTTGACATAATATCTTTAGATTTTTATTTTTAATTTCACTGACTTCCAAGTGTTTCCTTTTTCCGCATATGTAAAAGTCTGATTTACACCAATTGTTGTTATTTGAGCTACATGTTTAAATACAGTATGGTTTAAAGATTGACAAGGCTTAATAATTACAGATTTAGCAGTTTATCTAGATCATGTTTGTCTTACTGTACCTCCCTCCATGATTCCTGTACACAGAAATGCCTGCTTGGTCTCCTGTAAGAATCTGCAAGAATCATTTTGCACCACCTGGGTTTTTTTTGTAGGAGGCCAAACAGGGGTTTCTGCGTACAGGAAGCATGAAGGGAGGCAAGATAAATACGAATTAGATATACTGCCAGTTCTATAATTATTAAAACCTTGCTGAGAATCAGCAAAGTAAAAAGAAAAACCATCTTCATTGCAAGTTTTGCCATGTATCTGTTTATATTTTAGCTTTGATGGCACTTTCTTAAGCAAGGTATTCTCTTTAGCATCGACTTTATCATGGTAGTATTACATTTTTGCTGCACTGGCTATTACAAAAAATGTGTTTCAGCCGGAAAAAAAAATAATGCTCATTTACAAAGCACATAGAAAAAGAAAGCAGCAAGTTGGTTTAGTTGAGACAGGCTCAAGGAATTGTTTCAAAAAAATTAAAGCAACCCATCGACCCATGAGCTTTGGTCGTTTCCTTGGAAATTAGTCGCAAACAATTACAGGATATTTTCTAAGGCAGCATATGTGTGTGAGCATGTAACAGTGGAGGATGTTTAGAGTTACAGCTCTCACCTGGGTCGTATGATATAAATGATACAGTACATTGAAATCGGCATTCTAGTGCATGTTTAGATATGTGTGTTTGTGTATCTGATTATGCATAGCAAGACGGAGAATGCAGATCGGATTTGTGAATAAATCAAATTTACAGGCAAGTCGTGTTCTGGGTCTGCACGCACCCAAACAAATAAACACAGACACATGCTGTTCAGCAACTCCCATTCTTCTATCACACACACATCCTCAGGAAAAGCAGGGGATTCCGATTTGTCACAGATGACATCACAGCCTGCCAGTAATAAAAAACAGCTAAGCGAGGTGTCCCCGTTCCCTTCCTCTGACACATCCCACCAAAGGAACAGAGAGAGTAATGCCTGGTCGAGCGACACCCATTAGTTCAGAGTGAGGGAGCCCTTTTTAAGGGGTCTGCATGCACACAAGAGCGCACTCACACACACACACACACACACACACACACAAACTACATCTCCATAGTGACCGGCTTTTTGCTGCCCCAGCTCGGGGAGGAAATGCCAAACTCTGCGCTTCAGAGCCACGCCACCAGAAATACACACAAACAGCTCTGTTCTAATCCTCTGTCCAGCCACGACGGAAAAAAACCTCTGCTCTTATCACCACCCTGCTACCTCCCACTGTCTTTTTTCTCCTCTTCCTGTTCTCCCATATTTTCCCTTCTCTTCCAGCTCCTCTCTCCTCCACCTCCCTCCATGTCTGTCTGTCTCCCCATCTATCTCCCTCTCAGCAACAGTTCATTGAAATAGACAACAGAGGTAAGTGCTCCTTTCTGCTCTCTGACCACCATTGGTTTGCTGCTTTAATTTGCTTTAAGTTTCAGCCTGGTTTTCCCACAGTAGACAAAGGTCAGGTTAGTATCACTGCTGGAGGTTTTGCCGATACTGGAAAACTGAAACAGTTGTGTGTGCATATCTATGTCCTTGTGAAATGTGTACTGTACTCTTCGCCAGCTGTTATGTTCACTTAGTGTCTTAGCCTGGTAATAATCAAACAATCATGTGGGAGTGTGTCCTATGCACTTTACAATTCAAACTAGTATCGTTCTTTGTGGTCGCTTTAGAAACTGTGAATATAATATTAACAATAGCATCTGTGTGTGTGTGTGTGTGTGTGTGTGTGTGGGCGGCGGGTACAAATCTCTTTAATCAACAGTGGAAACTCAGTCAGTACTTAGGAATGGGAAGCAGCAGCAGACAGAGACCATATACTGTATATTCAGGGCTAAAAAACCCCCACCTATAGCAGGTTGTTGAACTCTTTGCCAACAATCACTCATTGCTTTATTTTTAATCATTGTAGGTTAGAATTTCCAGAATACACAAGTTATGTTTTGATTGAAGGCAACTATTCTTATGTTTTGTATATAGTTTAGCCATTTCCCCAACAACAAGCGTGAATCTGTTGAGTCTTTAGACTAATTTCTCAAAGTGGAACTTGTGTTGATCTTTCAGTATTAGTTCAATAATCTGATGTTGCTGGAAGGGATATCCTTTCAAATGTGCTGTGGCTGAAATAACAACGCCTGTGGAATCGAGGAATAGCCTGGCATTAGTTCAGACATGCCAAATCAGAAAGCCATCTGTAGTCCTTGGTTACAAAACAACACAATTAATCTCCACAGCCCCAGCACGGGCTTTTCCACATGTATACAAACATACATACTGTGATTTCACGAACATCTGGATGCAAGCCTGGCTAATACCTACCCCCCCACCCCCAATTTGGCCCCATCTTCCCCTTTCTATCCCGGCAACCCTTCGTGTCTGTCTGTCTTCCTGTCTGTCCGCCCCCGCTCCTAGAGATGAAAGAGAAGAATCCCTGGCACACGCCTGTGACCATCATCATCACTGTGATTGGTGTCATAGCGATTGTCGCCTTGGTGACGGTAGGAGTTTTGCAGAACAAGCCCCTCCTCCAAAAGTACAAGGTATGATAGAGGAAAATCCTAAAATAATTCAATTACACTTTATTGCCTGAATATTCTTCTGAAATTTGTCTTGCATCCCAAAGCACGTTACATCACATAAACATTTAATCAAACAGGACAACAACATAACACAAACACGCAGCACATCACCAGCCTGAGACAACATCCTTTAAAATCTAGAGAGACAGCTGTACCATGTACAGACACAATACTGACCCAGCTCTCACAGTAAATGCACTGTTGCATCTCCACAAAGATGCCTGGATATTTATTGGAGGATATTTGTTCAGTCTGTGTGTTGTGTACAGTAACCGGTAGAAGATGAGTTCACTGGACGACCAAAATTTACTTTGTGTGTGTGTGTGTGTGTGTGTGTGTGTGTTGTAGCCTGTTCCTTGTATGGGAATCCACTCAGTTACAGTCCAAAGTCCACAAGCCAAATACAGTATGTTTTCTCGTTCATGACCTCAACCGGTACTACTGGCTATAGAACTCCATCAGCAAATAAGGCCAGTGGCCGTTAATGAAAACATTAAATAACCACTCATTAACGACCCAGATGCAGGCCTAGCTGGACCCTCACAGTGTCTAGGGTGCAGTTTGCTAACCTATATTTGCACAGATGAAATTCTCTCTGAGAAGTTCTGGGAAGTGTCTGTGAGCTATAAAATCATTACATATTTGAGCTGTATATGCGGAAGTCATCCAAAGTCAATGTTACCAAGCACTGAAATGGAAATACTACTCCTGTCTGCACTCTAGTATGGTATTGTGCTGGACGCTGGATCCTCCCACACAGCTCTGTATATCTACGAGTGGCCTGCAGAGAAGGATAACAACACTGGAAGAGTTGAACAGATTCATTCCTGCAAAGTCAAGGGTACAGTATGCTGCACGCGCACACACACACACGCACACACACACACACACACACACACACACATACGCACGCACGCAGTGCATCCATTCCTGTTTATATCTTTTAGCAAAGATGTTAAATCTGCAACACTAGAACATTTAACTTTATAAAAGTGCCTTAATGTGTAAATGCTGACATTTAGCTTAGCTTCTCCAAACTATAACGTACTATAGCTTATTCCTCTTTGTCCAAAACTGCTAAAATACTTAAGAACCAGTGAGTCAAACCTGTACTGAACACAGCCATTGTAATTGTTTTTGAGCCAGTCCCACCATTCACTAGAACACTAACAAATGCATTACTTACTCCTGTTTGAGTAAGGTTTGCTCAGAACTACAGTGCCCAACTGTTTCAAGACTTTTTAATGAACCCATATATGTGTTGTTTTTTTTTTAAGATTAGTCTTCAGTAGCAACCAGTGGGCATGAAGCTGAATGCCCCAGACAGGGAAGGAAGGCAGAATGTTTTGTGAAACAGAGCTGGTTTTGGTCTTTTCAGATTAGGCATATCCTTTAACATTTATTTAAGTGAGAGATTAACACCTGGAGGTGTACATTTATGCATGCTTATGGGAAAGCTGATTCCTTTGCTACGGTTATCACCAAGCTTTCTTTTTTAGAACCATCTGCCAGGGTACTTAATCATTTTGAGGACCTTTAAATCCCAACCAGGCTATAGCATCTCTGAACTCATGAACCCTGAAATTACTAGGTTTTATGGCCACTAAATTTAAGCTGAATGACTTCAGCCTCCTCTTGACATTTTGTTCTTCCTGTAGGTCCAGGTATCTCCAGCTATGCGTCTACTCCATTGAAGGCCGGGGAGTCTCTGAGGGAGTGCATGCAGGAAGCCGAGCAGCGCGTCCCCAGAAAAAGACACCATGAGACCCCTCTTTATCTGGGGGCTACTGCGGGAATGAGATTGCTCAAGTACAGCAAACATTCCCATAATCATACATGCATCCACAAAATAATAACACAGAAGGCCTTTATATGGTCACTCTGGTGTGACTGTTCTAACTCTGTGTGTGTGTGTGTGTGTGTTTGCAGCCTTTTCCACCCACCCACTGTGATTTATCTCCACATAAATTTTACAGCCAGAACAGTGAATGAGTTACTGTCAAAACCATTATATACAGTGCAGTCTATTTATTATGTATGTGCTGCTGTTTTGCTTTGAATTATGGATGTGAATCAGTCTAATACCTTTGTGTTGCGTGTGCATGCATGCAGTATGGAGGACAGCGCCGCATCGAATAAAGTCTTTCAGGCTGTGGAGGAAGCCCTGCAAAAGTTCCCATTCGCCTTTCAGGGAGCAAGAATCTTAAGTGGCCAGGAAGAGGGCGCCTTCGGCTGGGTCACAGTCAACTACTTGGATGACCGCCTCAAACAGGTCTGTTTGTACACATGCCCAAGCAAAGTTGTCCACTTTTAGATGTGTGCTTCTACTGGGAACTGACTTCCATGCCTTTTTGATTCTGCTGCAGGGCTTAGAAACCACAGGTGCTCTTGACCTTGGAGGGGCCTCTACTCAAATTAGCTTTGTATCCGATAACTATGATGGTTCTGAGTCACCCGACAACTCTGTGACCTTCAGACTCTATGGAAATGGCTACAACCTGTACACTCACAGCTTCCTGTGTTACGGGAAAGACCAAGCGCTGAGAATGACACTGGCACAGCAGACTCTGGTAAATGTCTACTGTTTAAATCTAATCATCTGGGGTGATTCAGTACTTACAGACAAGGCTACATATACAGTGATACTGTATTTAAATTCAGTTATCTTCCTCTCTTTGTCTCTTACACCTCTCTGTCTGTCTCTCCTAGTCAGGTCCAAGAACAATACAAGATCCTTGTTTCCATGCCGGCTACAATGAAACAAAGAACTACTCAGTCCTCTACGACAGCCCCTGTGTGTCAAAGAGGAAACCACAGAGTGCTCCTGCAACCTTCATTCACGAGGGAAAAGGAAACTTTCAACAGTGTCAGGAAATCATCAAACGTGTCTTCAATTTTACTGACTGCAAATTCAGCCAATGCTCCTTCAATGGAGTCTTCCAGCCACTTTTGCAGGGGCCGTTTGGGGTAATTTACTACATTTGTCAGTGTCACTGACCTATGAGATACTGTGTGTTGTTTGAATGCACACAGGGCGTACCCTGAGCACAACTTGACCTTTTAACTGGTAATGTAGCGAAACTATTTATTCACCAAAATGTAACTGCATTACAATATGACTGCCTTCAAACAACCAGTGAAGTGATTTGCTAAAATGTCAATTCACCACAATTACAAACACTTTTCTTACATAATGCCAGGGATAGACCCATGCAGATACTTTCTGCCATCATGGCAATTAGGGGTGTAAGATATATTGTCTATGATAATATCTTAATTGCTATTTAAACTACGTATGTTTGTCACTCACTTTACAAAAACAATCAAAATCGCACCTTGAGAGGCCACACATTCACTGTGTCATGAAGTCAATTAGAATCATTACTGCACACAGCATGTACATGGTCACACACACCACAAGTTAAGCTAGTGTAGCTTCCTAAAAATGCTAAGTTAAAAATGAGTGAACAACCAGCACCAGGAGACAAAATACAGACACCACCAGCGCTGCAATTTAAAATGTTAACTGCTAGACGTGGATCATCCTCACTCGCTTGAACGTATTTTGGCTTTGAAAAGACGGATGCCCGCGCAAAAGATGTAATGAAAGACTATGTCGGAAATCAATTGATGTAAAGAGAACTTGACAGCTCATTTCCAGCCAAGGAACAGCACACGGACAGCAAACTTTAGCAGAATCATTCTGTTAATTCAATGTTTGTGTACTGGTTTCCTTTAATGCTTTGGTTTTAAGTAAATAACATTTTTTCTTAAATATAGTACGTTATTTCCATTATCAACAAAATCCCAGATATAATTTTCTGTCAGTATTGCACAGCCCTAATGAAGATATAATGTAGAAACTGTAAATGGTGTTTTGTTTGTGCCGCACATACCAGTGCATGTGAAAATGTTCCAGTAACAGTCTCTCTCACAACCCTGAATTATCCACACTTTACTGTGGGAACAACTTTCCTTGAAACTACTGTCAGAAACAAATAACACTTAGGTCAGTGACACAGGAAAATGCCTTAAGGGACAAATAATGCAAATTAAGTATTCATAATATGACTTCATTTGCTAAAGGACAAGGTCTTTTCCTTTGGCTTCACCTCTTCATTCCTTCCTCTTTCTCAATGTAGGCTTTCTCTGCTTACTACTTTGTGATGAACTTCCTCAATCTGACGGATACATCTATCCCTCTGGAAACTGTCAGGGACAAGTTGTCACGCTACTGCGCTACCCCCTGGCATCAGGTCAGGGTATATTTATGCATGATTTATAGAAACAAAAAGATATCCTGTCACATTTATTTCCATTCATGTTTATGTTATCGGGTCTGCCTGTACTAAACATTGATGGTATTCACTGCATTTCAACAGGTAGTGCAGCAACATCCTGGTGTAAAAGTAAAGTACCTGGCCGAGTACTGTTTTTCTGGCACATACATCCTCACCCTGTTGACAGAAGGATACAACTTCACCTCATGGAGCTACCCCAAAATAAAATTCATCAAGAAGGTCAGTAGATCACAGTCCACTCCTTTCCCATTTCACACACCCTGAACCTGACTGATTTAAGTCGTATCCTAATGACCTTTAACACCTTTTTGTGTGTTTGTACAAGTGTTCCCTTTGAGGTTTTGAGCTTTACAATGAGGGCAATTAAGAAAATTAGTCATTTGTATCTGAAAAATGTGCTTATGTACGTTAAACTCATCAGGGTCATGTTGTAGCCAACTGTCTGTACAGTAGGTCTGCAGGTTTGAGTCTCATTACTCTGACCACAGCGTTAGATGAATTTTAAACCAGCCCTGAAGAAACAAACATGTCAGCTCTTTAATCTGGGTAACTGTTATCTGTTTACGAACGACTGGGCCCAAATGACAGTGAGTCAGTACATTAGGAACCCCTCAGACTTTGTCAGCACAATCAACAAAGTATCACCAAAACCATAGCAGCAGATGTAAAGGTCACTAATTTGTCATTGCAAGAAAGCATAGCATACAAGCCAAACAACAGCCAACAGGAAATCAATCTGTGCTACCACAGATAAAGTAACTAAGTACATTTACTCAAACATAGTTAAAGATAACTGAGGTATTTGTACTTTACTCGAGTATTTCCATTTTCTGCCACTTCATACTTCAACTGTACTACATTTTACAGGCAATTATTGTACTCTTTATTCCTTCAAAATCAGGTTAACAAACCAAAATACAGTGCAATCATAAGACTGTTGATCCCTGGTGGGAAATTAAACAACCCAGCAGTATGTAAAGTACTTCAAAGTATAAGCATTTAAAGTAGATAACATTAGCACTACCTTTACCAGCTGTAACAATAAACGTGATGTACACAATACTTAAGTAATTTTAGTCCAAAAATGATATACATTAATGTGAACTGCGCCATTCTGCATAATGAATACTTTCACTGTTGGTACTTTAAGTATATTTTACATACTTTACTTAAGTAACTATTTAAATGCAGGACTTTTACTTGTAACAGAGTATTTGTACACTGTTATTGCTACTTTTACTCAAGTAAACAATCTGAGTACTTCTTCCACCACTGTGGTTCATTATTTTTCCACCACCAATGCAAATGCACGTTTTAGCATCATACAGCAAACTTAGATTAAAGCAGCATAACATCACCAATGAGCGGCAGCAATAAATCCAATCATTCCTGCCAATAACAACAGCAGCATGACAGCAAAGCTAAAATAGCAACAGCACAGCAGGCACGGGCACATAACAACGTAACACCCTGCAGAGCCAAAACACAACAAGCAATAAATGAAAGCTTTTACCTTGGACGCGGGCTTAAGGGTGGCGCACACCAGGTGGTCGCAGTCCTAGCGCGCATAGTAAAAATGGAGTCACACCTATCCAGGAACACTAAACAAGGTCCAGGGTTCTGTCATGGAGGCCAACTAACAGATCAGTGGTAGAAACGGGGGGGAAGCGCAGACTGTCATGGTAGCACACGCACATCCTACCAGCACAGTTTCATCACAGTAATTGGAAGCGTCTGGTTGTAATTGCTGTCAACCTGCGCGAATATGATTGGACTACAGGTAAGAATGAGCCTGTGACCGTGGATCGCAAGTGCAAGAAAGCATTGTTAGTTGATAGATATCTGGATTTCCTTAAACTTAATAAATAAAAATAAAATAATGTAGAAATAAATAACATTAGTTAAATCAGAAATGGATGCATTACATTGTTAAGCATTTTATTCAAAGTGGGGTATCTGTAGGTCTTGAAAGGTGTTAGAAAGTATAAAAAAATCCCTCACAAAAGGGATAGACTATATTTAAAAAGACTTGGTTTTCTATTATTGTGTGACTGAGATGAAGTATTAAATTGTAAGTTTTAAAAAGTTGTTTGGTGAGCACTGCAGAAACCCTTTATGCTTCTCCACTTAAACGTTTTTTCTTTAATTTTATAATATATCTGTATTCAAGCACAGTATGAATACCTCTAAACTGCACTGGCCTGTGGTACATGAGTGAATGACAGCTCTCCCTCTTCCTGTGTTGCATCCAGATAAAAGGCAGCGATGCAGGCTGGACACTGGGCTACATGTTGAATCTGACCAACATGATCCCAGCTGAGGCTCCTGACTCTCCTCCTCTCCCCTACACTGGCTATGTTTCCATAGTCACTTTACTTGCAGTGCTGCTCTTCATCCTCTTCATTGTCAGTCTGCGACCTCTCTGGCCACGCTGCTCCAAGCAACTGCAGATCATATGAAAACACGCACACATGTACTGTATGTATCAGTGGTAGTGTTGGAAGAAATGCTGTCAGAATCTGTGAGTGTGTTGGTGTGGGCCATTTGAACCATTTATGAATATAATCAACTTTATACTCTGAAGCCCTTGTGAGGGGGTCAAAGGTCAATGCCTGCAACAATCTTGCAGCTCATGTGGACTCAAGGACATTTCAGAAGGACACATACATTCTCTCACTGCGGTGTGGGTTATGCTTCTCTGGATGAAGGACAGTTTCTGTCTCTTTGTGTGTGAGTTTGTATGTTTGAATCTATAAATGTGAATGTGTTCCTGAATGTCTGTATGCACCCACATCAGTCTGCATGTCTGTGTCTTGAATTATTATGTGAATACGATACTGTACAAACAAAATATCCATGTTTTTACAAAATATCTGATTTGCTTGTCATTTGTACATTTGTAAAAACATTATAAGTTATATACTGTTTAATGTTTGGTGATTTATTTAAACCCAATTGGATTTTTTTTTTTATAAACACCCATGACAAAGTAGTTTTTGATTAAAACCAGTAAACCAGCAAAATGACAATGAAAATAGCAGCAAAATAATCTTTGAAAGACAATGTGCTCACTTGCCCCAAGTAACAACAATGACATAATCTTGCTAATAATCATCTTAATTATATTTTAAAGAAACACTGCCCTAAGCAACATGAGATACATTTCTCTAAACATGTAAACCTATTGTAAACCCATTGTTTGTATCTAAAATGGAAGTGCTGCCCTCTAGTGATGACAGGACGCATATTGCATTATGATTACCACAGTGAAATCTGTCCAACCACCACCTCTAAGCAACCAGTAAGAGAACAGAGCTGTTACTGTACCATAACCTGATGTTCTACATGAACATCTTACACATACTGAACAATAGGCCAACTGACGGTGCATCTGATTCTCCTGCTGCTGCTTTAAGAAGGCAAATTTCCTATGCAAATACCATCATAGTTTATATAATGTGTAAAAAGCCAGTACAAAATCCTCTGGAGCAAATTTGCCATGTTGGAATGATGGCATCAAGACTTTGGCAGGAAGTGGAAACTCATGAGGTTTCCCTGTACTTGGGGGCTCTGCCTTTCCTCTGAGTAACAGATTTAGCTCTTATCTGGAGGGAATGGAGTCACAGGGGAGAAAAAGTAAATAATACCACCCTGATAATCAGTGGGTGGTTCCTGCTTTTACACCACAAATGTCTTTTGTTGTTGGCAAATCACTTTTAAAGCTAATTAAGTGACTTATCTTAATGGCATGGTCAGAGTGCCAATATGCTCATATACAGCATACTGTACATATTTACACCGATGTCAGTGCTATTAATTCCTGACCGGCCACTTAAGAGACAAAAGTTCATAGACAAGTCCCTTAAAAACAGTGTGTGGCTGTTTTTAGCTGATTCTGGTGCTTAGTTGTAAGCTGCTGACTTGCTGTCCTACTGTAGGGACGCGGCCTGCTGTGACACAGATGGAATGGTTGGTAGGTGATTGGTCACAGGGTCTGAAGGGTTGCTCATGTGATCCTGGTCGATGATGGTGGTGGTCTCAGAGTCCAGCTCCTGAACATTTTCTTGGTAGAACCTCTGCCTCAGGCGTCTCATCCAGGGAAGCTCCCAGTACGTTTCCAGCACAACGAGGACACACACCAAGCCCAGCAGTAAGTAGACTTGGGGAACAGACATGCACAAAGGCAGCATGATGGAACAAAACAAGTACAGCATGACTAATTATCAACCAACAGTTAGTCTATAAATAGAAGGTGTGGTGGCTGGTTAATTACATGTACCAAATATTTCCAACACTTTGTGGAGCTGGTGGAGGTAAGTTTTCTAATGCTAGTCTCCTCAACCTCACCGTGGTGTGCCAAGCACACCATTAATTGTCTTGTTTTCTGAAGATAAAGTATGGGGGTAAAAATCTCTCATAACTTGCCACAAATGCGTAATCGTCATTTACAAATACAGTCGAGATTGCAAAGGTGTAAAAACCACTTTGCATCTCATGAATACAACAAACTGGTGCTTGTCGATCTACTCATTTTCAAATGTGTAAAACAATTTGAGTGTGTCTCATAATTGCAAATACATGCGTGTTGATCTACAAGTACAATCCAAGTATTTGTGGCTTTCATGAGACAGGCACAAATTGGTTTTTACACATTTGTAATCTTGACTGTATTTGTAAATCATCAAATATGCATTTGTGGCAGTTATGAGAGATTTTATCTCCATAATAAAAGGTTTCCACCTGGCAGCAGTGACACCTACTCACCTGTAATGGCCAGCCTGTAGAGGTGTGGATGTGGACTGTCCTCTTTACTGTGGGTCTCTCCAGGGACATAATCCCCGAGGCCAATGGTTGTCAGAGAGATGAAACAGAAATACAGAGAGTCCAGAAAGTTCCAGTCCTTTTCCAGGCTGGAAAGGATCCATGCTGGGATGAGGAAGACGAACAGGATCATGATGACGGTGAGACAGGCGGCATGGATGATGGCTACCTTCGATTTAGATATGGCCCTTCGATGGTGGAAGTAGGACACTGGCTGTAGAGTCACCAGGAACATGACCCTCTGCACCACAGCAGCGAGGAATAAGAAGGTAAAGGGGATGCCGAAGAGGATGTAGAAAATACAGAAGGCCTTCCCTCCATCTGAAAGAGGGACAGTGTGGCCATAACCTGAAGACACAACCAAACATGAAGCACAGCCTTAATTACAGTGGTATAATTAGAGGTGGTGTTCTTGCAGGAGCCACTTAGTCCCTGTGAAACTTTACACACATAATAATTAGAGGGAAGGACAACAGAAATTCATTCAACAGCAGCATGTCGTCTTTTAGCAAAGACAAACCAAATGTTTTAAGTTAACCTCTTTATAACCTATGTATGTTGAACTTCAGGTGAAGTTCAACAACTGTAAATGTTGTTGCACTATCCGATAAGTCGGGATTTATAGGAATTTGTTCATTTTAACAAATGCGTTTAAACATTCCTTCTTAACATGATGGAAGATACTGTATATGAAAATACTTACCTTGAACTAAAGCTAATAATTTGCATATAATGTGTGCTTTTTAAAATAAATAAGTAAATACATTCAGTAGGGGAAAGTAACTACAGTAAGTACATTTACTCAAGTATCGTATTTAAGGACAATTTTGCAGTATGCGCTTGAGTATTTTCTTTTTGTGCTACTTCATACTTTACCACATTTTAGAGGCAACGATTGTTCTTTTTACTCCTCTACCTTTATTTTAAAACTTTAGTTACTAGTTGTTTTTCAGAACCAGATTAATATAAAAATTTAAGTATAATCATAAGACTTTATTGATTTCTGGTGGAAAATTCACAAACTACCCAGCACTAATTCAAATTATAAGTATATAAGCCAGTTAAAAGTAGACCCCCCTTTTACCAAATGCAGTATCCAGTGTGATGGACACAATAATGCATCAGTGATTATCTTAAGCTAATTTGCGGTTTCAGGTATCAGTGGATACCTGTCAAAGTTACTGCCCTTCAGGTATGGCAGTGTTTTCCTGTTGAGGTGCAGTGGAAGGACGAACAATGAGAATATTGGACTAAAATGCCATGGCACTGGGACACCAAGGCAGTGTCGACAACAAATGTCAATATTCCAGTAATCCTTCATGGTGTTTAAAAGTCAGTATTATTTACATCTGGTCAGGTTTTAGCTGTTGCACCCATTGAAAATGCTGCTGGTGGGGAATTATTGTGGGTTTGAATGATTCACAGTGAAGCTTTCCTATTTGAGCACCTGTGTCCCGGGCCTCACCTACTGTGGTCAGCACGGTGCTGGTGAAGAACAGAGAGGACACAAAGTTCCAGCTGTTTTCGGTGTCATTCTCAATCAGGGACACTCCATCGCTATTAGCTTCCAGTGCGCGGATCAGAAGCTCCTCCAGGCGCGCGTCGGACACACAGCTGTTGTTGCTCAGGAAGTCCTGTCGGGCCACTTTCAGCTCCTGCTTAAGTTCGTGCTCGTAGGGCTTCTCTATGGCGGAGAAGATCCATGCGCCGATTAAAAGGTAAATCGTGTACCCGACAAGTAACAACACCAAATTGAGCGCTGACTGATGTCGCTCCACAAACCAAGCGCACCGGCATTCAGGGTAGATGCGCACCATCCCTCCGGTTTAAGATCACTGAACTTTTCAGTGCTCTCTTTCTCTCTTTGCTACTTGTGGACTCGTCTTCCTCATTCTTCACATCCCATTGGACGCGAGTAGTGACGTCGCTCCCTCACCAGACCAGGTGTGCAAGTGGATTTAGGAGGGTGTTTCACTGCCTTACAACACTTCCTTTTCTAAGTGGTTTAACAGGTTTCATGTTTTATGTCATTCCAAAACATTGACTTTATTTGAGACTCAGGATTCTTTGGAAACTATAAGTGTAACATCGTAAAATGTTTAAAGTTACACAAATCAGACATGAATATGATTTAACAATACAAATGAAGAATAAACCACTTTTCACCAGACCTGTAATTATTACTCCCACCACTAGAAGGCACTGGAGACTATGTTTCCACAGCCTTTTGTCTACTGTGCTGCTGTCATCAGAAAAGAAAAACACAAGTGGAGGCAAGTCTTTTATTGATAGGTTACCACCAGACATTTGTACAGTGCTCTACATACTCCATCATCGGTTTATCCTCACCTACCTCCCTTTCATATCTGGCATCTGGCAATAAATAATAATTTACAACCATTAAGAAAGCACAAATGAATACCAACAAGAAGTGATTGTCATAAGAGGTGCAGTCAGAGTCCTACAGTAATACACAGCAAAAGAGATGCCCTGGAATCAATACTGCTGCATAAAAAGCTGATAGATAGATGATGGTCATTGATTAATAGCCTTGGCTGGACAAAGGATCTGCCGCGTCCTCTCTCTTTTTTTTTCCTCAGATGTATTAATGTAAATCTCTGGAAGGTGGTTGTACAGTCTCCTGAATATTCTAGAAAATTCAGTTATCTGAGGAAAAAGCAGATCACAGGTATAGTCATTAGAGGCACTTTCAGAGTTGATATCAGCTCCCAAAGAGTATTACTAACACAGTGTTGGAGGTATTTGACAAAGCTCATCATGTCAGTGTTAGTTTAAAAACTACTTGGAGATGTAATTACACTCCACCCACAAATGTTGATTCTTTGGTTGGCACCATTATGCAAGTGTCATGCAGTTTAGGCTATAATTGATATCAAACTCACAGATTTTTATAATTGATTCAACACATGCTCTTCAAAGCCTTTCTTGATGCCAAGAATATCACAGCGTTAATCGCAGTGGACCATGTTGCCTGTATCTGTAGTGTGCTCAACACTAGCGTGGTGTAAATTGTCACCACCAAGTGGTATTTTATAACCAGTCCAGTATTGACTATTTTCTCCAGGAGTGTCTCTGAGTGAACTTTGAACACTTTCATTATGCATTTTGGTGTTAAAGTTTTACACTGTGAGAGCTTTTTTCTGACACTGTAACAGTGTTAATAATGTGAACACTTTCAAAAGTGAAACTTTTTATCGGTTCACTAGGAAAGTGTTCATTTTAACTCTACAGGTGATCAATTAACTATTTCAAATTTGAAGTGTAAGGCAATTAAAACTAGTCCAACTCAAATAGCTTCAGTGGTAAAATGCTATTTACACACTGTTGCATCAATAACAATATAATAATGTCATAATATCATCATCATTCTGTCATTTTTCTGCACAATGAATAGTTTTTGATACTTAAAGTACATTTTGTACTTTTACTTAAGTGTGTGTAAATCTTAGTGGTAAAAGAAGTACTCAGATTGTTTGCTTAAGTAAAAGTAGCAATATCACAGAGTAAAAATACTCTATTACAAGTAAAAGTCAAAATGTACCTAAGTAAATTCTGGACTTTTACTTGGAATTGTAAAGTATAAAGTATTTAATTAAAGCACTGGAGCACTTCTGGTGCCCCACTCAGGACGATAGTCAGGACAAACGTGCTGACAGGATGTCTCACCTCTGCACTCGTATTTGAGGTCTGAGAAGAGGACGTGTTCCTGAGAGAAGACAAACAGGCCCAGCCTGCCTCCAGCCAGGGTGTGGTCGTACACCGCTCCTGAGTCAGATAAAATATCCCTGCCCTCGTACACCACCACCCTGCCATGGAAACACAGCAAACACAGCACCGATCATTTATACTGGACTGGACTGTAGATGTAGAGGAAAGTGTATTACACACTGTGCTACACTGCTATTTTTTAAAGTAAAGGATCTGAGTAATTCTTCCACCACTGCCAGTGCTCTCTGAATTTCTGTCAGCTTGTTTGTATATTTCCTTCCTGTCCTATTCGACTGTTTGTATCAGTGGATAACAGTGAGGACATGGCATCAAATGGAGATACATTTAAAGCAGTTACAATCCATCTTTTTAGCTGCTATCCAACATATCTCGTGTGTCCTTCGCAATCAAAGTGTAGATTCGTACAGTCATCCAACAGTACAGCCATTCATTATCCACGATGCAGTACTTGCATCTTCAAAGATAGCCATTTCAGTATTTTACTACTCTGAACAACTGTGCCTGGCACATAACTCTCTCCCCTCACTTCTTATCATTTTGAAAACATCGCTATAGTCCTGATGTTCTTCTTTCCATCTGTGCAAAAACTGCACAAAGCACAGAGAAGTCATTGCCCGGGGCTGTTTTGTACGTCCATTAGTGAGAAGTACAACTAAGTAGAAATAGATGTAGCAGATTCAGGAAAACCGGGGTCAACAGTTATCACAAAATAACTCTTGGAGATTGATGATATCCTTGAGTACTGGGACATCTGAGGGTTAATTATTCCTTCAAGGGTAGCACTGAATGTGATTTTCACAGATTTAACAAGTTATTCAGCACAGATTGCTGCTCCATTAAAACCTGTTAGCTGCTATTAACTGAGCTATAAATGTGTGATTTAAAGCAACATATGTATTTCTGCATGTTTTTGCCCATTTTGTACAGATCCCATTTATTTTACAGTGTTGCTAGTGGTTTTGGTGGGCATTAGTCTTTTAGTTTTGAGAAATTTCTATTTATTACCTTTAAGTTTTTTAATTCGTTTTCATCCACTTCAATAAATGATCCACTTGCAGACACAGTAGAAAAATCTGCTTTAAATGCATAATTGCCACTGAGCGTCATGTCTGTTTTTATTGCTGTTAAATTAAATAAAATTAGATGAATTTTCACCTTGATAGAAGTTACGCAAGTAAATTGATTAGAAGTCTGCACTGCATTTCTACAAATAAGTAATGTTTGTTTCACAATAATAAACACAGAAGTGACTGCAAGCTGATTTTCATGATGTACAGCACTGAATAGAAACCTGACCAAAACAGCCTTTTAGCCAATACAACATGCTTTGAAAAATGATGTTTATGTGCATGTACAGTGATAAATGGGGGAAAACAATGCCATAAAGCTAAAGTTTAGTGCTAATGCAGTGTTATTTTCAAGAAAGAGAAAGCTCTGTTGTTCCCCCGAGGAAGCCCTCAAACTTCATTTTTTAACTTTAAAACCTGGGTGATCTCACTGCCCACAATCCTGTGGCTCCTAAGAGGAAAACCAGAAAAGTAATGAATACTTTAGCCCATTACATATACAAGTTCGTGTGTCATCTGTCTAGTTTGTGATTATCAGCCTATAATAATGACTAAATTGATTTAACAGAGCAGTATAGTTATAGTTCGCTTTGTACCTGATGAACCCAGTCTTGGGTCTGTGGGTAAGGTGCATGCGGTAGGCTGTGTAGTCCTTCCACCCAATTTTATTGGGGTCATGCCACAACGTTCTGACCTGAAACACACACAGAGACATCACCTGAGTGCACCTGATCTTTACTGTGCCGACTGGCCAAGGATGGTCTGTTCAGGGCAATTTTAGGACATTTTGAAAGAGACATTTTGTGTGAGTTATGATATTACAAGAAGAATAAAGCAGGTCAGACACATATGAGCTCATCCATTCATGCCTGGTGCCTGGTGTTTCCAGTATGCCAGAGGGCGTTGCGTAGATATTCCCCCGGTCCTGTGGTGGAGTTAACGAGTTTGATGGAAACTCCTGCTGTGCCAAAAGCTTTGAATGGCTTTTTCTCCCAGTAGGCCTGAGACACCTTTCTCATAAATAGAAAGAAAGTGAAGGTTAAGCTGACATATGTGCAGTAATGGATGAAAGAGGATTGCCGCCATACATAAAAAGACGTGTTTGAAATGCCAGTTCTTTTCTTTTCTATGCACTTTTTCATTTTTGCTGGTGAGATTGTCAGGACATAAAAGAAAAATACAAAGAAGTTTATGGTCAAGGAGATATTTGAAGATGTCTCAAGATGGACATAACTTTTGATTCAAACCCCAGAATGAAAGCTTTTAAAAGCCAATTTAGGTCAGTTTTCTACTGCCATTAGTGAAGCCGGTAGCAGTTTTCACGAGCCTTCAGCAGTCACATCTCACCTGTTTCCACATGACGGCGTAAAATCGCTGATTGGACTGGTAGGCGAACACAATGCCTGCATAGTCGTCATCTCGGTCAGTGTTCACATAAAATGTCACACTGAAGTCTACTGCGCTGAACTTAACATATCCTGTTTGAACCAAGGGGACATTTGTTTTTTATTTATCATACCTAGCATGGGTTTTGATTTATCCGGACTTACAGCCAATCTCACCTAAAGCAATCCCAGGGTCGGAGTTAGCTGTCTGCAGGAGCTCTGTACCCTGGCTGCGGATCACCCAGAGGGGGTCGGACTGTGTGGTGCCACTAGGGTCCAACAAAACAACCTGAAACTTCCTGAAGTCTGTTGACCCAATATTCTGGTTCAGCGGACACGGATCCAGTGCATCTGGAATACTGTCATTGTCAAAGTCATTGAAACAAGCATCTCCACTGCCGTCACCTGCAAGAGAGAGGAATAAATAGAGCAAAATGTAATTGTGATTTCCTGGATTTTGCCAGGAAGGAAATAAAAATGGACTGGATGAGAAAAAAGTGAAAATCTAGCAAGAAAGCCCTGTTTAAACAATCTTTAATGGCACTACAGAGAGCCATAAACTGTTTATGTTGTTGTCCAACATTAACATGATCTGAACATACTGGGCTGTCACATGATTTTACTGCATGACTGCAAAATCCATTTATCCATTCATCATAAACCGTGCAGAATATTTTCCCCAGGTGACAGCACATTAATCTGCATGTGTTCACATCTGCACCATGGTGCCAGAGATCTATTGATCGATTTTCAATAGATTATCTGTTTTTGTTGTTTGTTTATGTCTTGAGAAGAACTGCCTACCAGCTAAAGTTTAGAAAAACTGTAACAACACAGACCATCAGAGTCCAGTGTCGTCATCGTGGTCACAAACATCTCCCTTCCCGTCCTTGTCATGGTCGGCCTGGTTGCTGTTGGCTATGTAGGGACAGTTGTCTAGAGAGTTTTGGTGGCCGTCCTCATCGATGTCCTCGTTGTCATCGCACGTGTCCCCCACCAGGTCATTGTCAGCGTCAAGCTAGAGAAATGCATGTAAAATACTATAAATAAAACCATATGTGTATTGCTGAATCACGAGTGTCTGTACTTAATTTAAGCGTACCACTACATCCAGTCCCTCCATTTTCATGCATTAAAAATCCTCCATCTATTCCTCTCTGCTTGACAGCCACTAATAAATTACTGGAACAGCTTTGTTGGATCCCAGTGTTTGAATGTGCAACCCGCACCAGATGTTCTGAGAGGCACAGTTGTTTTTTCAGTACATACACAAATACAAGTGCGCTTTAAAGCCTCGTGTGTTTTTCAGGAACCTGCAGTGGATTGTGAAGAAGGGGACAGTTGTCACACTGGTCTCCAACACCATCCAGGTCTGTGTCCCTCTGGTCTGTGTTGTAGACGAGGGGGCAGTTGTCCCTGTCATTCTGAACCTCTGAATGCACAGAGCAGATGGTGTATATTACATTTTACTGCTTTATTATTTGGGTAAATGTATTTAGATTCATATTTAAAGACTAACTTAATAATCCACATTTTGTAGTTAATAAACCGATTGTACAGTCACTTCGTTACACCACCAACTGATCCTGGTGCCAGTTTGTAGTGTTCTTTACCACAGAATTTATTTTGCCTTATAAAAAGAGTAACCCCTCGAGATACTTTGGAGTACTGCAGAGGGGTCCATGAGATTATATAAGAAGCTGTTACTTTAAAAATATCACTCATGTATAATTCCTAAAATTATACTAGAAGTTCAATAAAATATGTAAATGTAATTTCAATTGACCACACTTTAAGTTTAATCTGATGTATAGACAGAAACTGAGCCACATGGAATTCTCAATATAATAGTATTAATTGTATAAATATGGAATTTTTTAACAACACTCAGACAATTTAATAACAATTGCATAAGACAGGTTTCAGTGAGTGGCTCCTACCATCTCCATCGCTGTCGATGCTGCAGGCGTCCCCCTCTCCGTCGTTATCAGTGTCTGTCTGCAGTGGGTTGCTATCAAACGGACAGTTGTCGCAGGGGTCCCCGACTCCGTCTCTGTCAGAATCAAACTGTAGGGGGTTGTATACCACTGGGCAGTTGTCCTGTACAGAAACAAACACACACATTTATTTTCATTTCTGCTGGGCATTTTATATTGGCTTACATTTATTTCCTGGAAATTTAACCTAACATAACACACAGGGGATAGCAACTTGTTTTCAGTCACGTATCCTTAGAATTTTATTTATTTATCTATTTTAATCTTTATTCATTTAGGAAAGGTCCACTGAAAGGCCATCTCTCTTTTTCAGGACTGCCCTGTTCACATTCAGACCTGGTAGCTGCCCAGTACAACCACAGAGCAGTTCCAGTGGAGCAGGCACTTTTGTCACCTGTCCCACCCAGATTTAATCCTGCCGGTCTGAGGAGTGAGTTGGTGACCTTCTGGTCACAAGCTTGCTTCTCTAACTCAGCCACAGTCTCACCCTTTCATCTATGATGTTGTCATTGTCATCATCAGGATCACAGGCATCTCCCTGTCCATCCTTGTCCAGATCTTCCTGTCCAGAGTTTGGTAGCATGGGGCAATTATCCTGTAGCCAATGACAATTTTAGTGTAGTGGAATCAAAGCCAATCAAAACACAGCTCCAGCTCACCAGATTAAAATCACTCACTCTTTTTACTTCAGTCCTAACCTTTAAGGTTTTTGTATTTGTGTTTTTACCTTTTGACAGTGATAGGTCGCATTCTGTTTGCAGGGCAGGATGTTGTTGGGCCAACCATCCAGATCAGAGTCTTCACCACACAAGAAGCCATCGCCAGCAAACCCCACAGTGCACACACACTTGTATAAGACCTGAGATGCCAGGCCCAAATACACACACTCAGCATATTTGTGGCAGCTGTGTGTGTTGTCTTTGCAAGGATTGTATGGTTCACACATCTAGAACCAAAACAGATCTTTTAGAATCCAAAAGTGGTTCTTGATTATAGCTAAGAACAAAGCCAGTTGTTCACAGAGGGCAAACACATGCCTGCTTGGTTTTCAGGGCTTCCTGCAGTCCAAGACCAAATGGCTGGGTGCCCTTATAGCGAGGAGGACAGGGGAGGCAGTAGAACCCAGGGTCTGTGTTCACACACTCTGTGACACATACACCCTCCACTTCACACTGCAGAGACAGAAGAATTAACAATCACTAACTATAAATACAAAGGTGTTTCAGGTGTTATGTACAAGAGGAACTCTCCCCCAGGATCAGTGATCATGGTGCCTTCAGTCGAACTTTCTTTCATAGCTTTCATGAAGTGCAACAGTGATCAGTCATTAGGGTCCATCCTCTGTGTATCATGAGTGTTCATATAAATTGCCCAGTCAAATGACTCCCCAGTTGTGATGAGCATGAGATGTGTGGTTATTACCTCGTTCTCATCGTCACAGTGAGTGCCGTTGCCAGTTAAACCCAACGGACAGTGTCCACATTCCCATGACCCATCGCTATGTGATGTACACTCCACCCCAGGAAAACACGGATTTGACAGCAAACATGTGTCTGAAAACACATGTGCGTGTATCATTGCATATTTGGTCAATGACAATTTTACACAGCATCACAAAGCAAATAGGTCAATATTGGTTCTATTCTGTCCTAAGCCTCAATAATTGAACAAAGACAGAATAAACAATATAGGGTATTATTTCTTAATCCTCATTGTCTGAAAACATATTTCCTCCAATAAATAGGATTAAGGTTTATCCACAGATACGAGGCTTAGCCTACTTGTAGTATATCTGCTTACAAATGTACCTATAGGCTGAGGTTTGTGGACAGGGTTAAGGTTTACCTATAGGACATGGTTGTCTGTTGCAAGATTCATAGTCTACAGCGTCTCCAGCACAACGCTTCCCGCCATTCTGAGGAGCGGGATTCAAACACTCCCGCTGGCGACTTGTAAGGCCTCCCCCACATGACTCTGAGCACAGTGACCATTCAGTCCAGGTTGTCCAGCCTCCAGCAACTACACACAAACATAACATATATGTGTAAGCCAGTTACAGTGCAGTTTGCATGTGCATTTGTCCCTGCTGTATACTCACTGGGGCAGAGTGTGTTGTTGCAGGGTTGTGTTTCCCTGGCGCTGCCTGTGCACCCTCTGCCTCCTTTCTGCGGTGGAGGGTTGTTGCAGAGACGGACCCGTGTGATGCTGCCTTCTCCACATGTGGTTGTACATGCAGACCAAGGAGACCAGTGACCCCAGTTCCCGTCAGTACGGACTAGACACAAAACAAGCACATACAGATTGTCCATTTTTGTAGCAGACTGAAAATGAAAGTAGAATTCACAGCTGACCACCTCTACAGCTCCACACTGTGAACTAAACCAGCGTGTTTCTAAAAGTAAATTAAATCAAGATGTCCTGTCTGACAGATCAGATATGCAAAGTGATGTCTTACCCTTGCGGTCACACTTCATCAGAACGCAGTTGCGGGTTTGGACCGATGGGCCATCACAGAACGGCATGATGCCATTACAGGACCGACCCCTTCGCTGCCCTCCTCTTCCACAGGTGGCAGAACAGTAAGTCCACTCTGACCACGGAGACCAACCATCTTCATTATCTTTACATACATGCAAAAATATACACTGTTGGTATTTTCTTCTAAAGTACTTCTGCTTTTAAATGCTGTGTCCTTAGCACATGTGGACAAATCAAACTCACTGAGACAGACCGGGCAGCACTTCCCATCAATAAAGGACGGATTGATGCAAGACACAGGAGGACAAGACATCTGCTGACACACCACTTTTCCATCCTAAACAAGGTAAAGGAGAGACTGGCCACTGTTCATACATTTTAATTTTGTAACAACAGCATTATTCAAACCATATTATTTGAACCAGATGCTTCACTAAATGCCATTCCGTGCAGAGGACTGGTATGCTGTCATGATTCATTATAACTCTGTTTATTCCCTCAATCCATCTTTGACAAAACCAACAATATTTTATAAAAACTTGGAGAAGAGGATGAAACAAGCATAAAATATGGTTAGAGGCTAATAAATGGTGGCTCTGGAAATAAATGAAACCAAACTGGATACAAGTGAAACTTACCAAACCAGTAAACACACTTAACAGTTTATTTTGACATTTTGGAAACTAAGCGCATTCACTTTGTGGTCATTAATTTGATATAAAGTCTATTCTTTAGTCAGGTCTTCATGGAATCAATTATCAGTTTATTCAAGTCTCAGTGCAATTTTCATAGATTCAAGTGATTAAAGTAACAAATAAGATTGGGACAAAAGTGAGAGTTAAGTCAGAAATGAGGACGACTTTGACTTGGCTGCTCTGGGACTTGAAATCAAAATGTAGAATGACCTTAGGCTTGACTTGAACTGCTCTGGGTGCCAAGGAATTGGTATTATGCTCTTCTATTCAATCAGAGACGTGTGCGGCGCTTTCCCAAGAAACACCTCATTGCAAGTGTTAGATAATAGTTACATAAGATTTGTTCAGCACAGACCTGGCAAATGCAGGAGGTGCAGCTGTCAACCTCCCAGTCCTCCCTCTGCTCATACAGCCGTCCATCTTGCATACACCAGAACTCCCCGTCTCTGCCCCTGTCAAGGTCACTGTCATCACCGCCGCTGTTGCTGCCTCCGGTGCCGCCGCTGGTGCCGTCGCTGGTGCCATCGCTGGTGCCACCACTGTTCCTGCCACTATTGCCGCCATTGTTGCCACTGCTGGTGCTGCTGTTGTTGTTACTGCTGCTGTTGCTCAGCTCGGCCAAAGATATGCGCATATCCTCATTTTCTGCAGACTGAGAACACAACATCCAGGTAGCATTTTCAAAACATTAAAATTACTGTTAGAAACTGTATATTTTTTATTACAGTTGTATTAGTATCTACTGCATTAGGCTAAAGCTGTGGTGAGACAATTAACAGCCAACATTTTAACACTGATTTCTGCTTATTTTGCCTGAAAATTACCAAGACATTTATCACAAACCACAGTGCTTCCTGCCAGAAAAAGGATGTTGCTACTTGTTACATCTGCACTGGAAGATGATGTACTCTGTTGGTTTTATCACACAAATTGCCCTCAGGCCTCACATACAGTATAATGTGTAGTGAACAGGCTGGTATACTTAAACAGTGCTTCTCTCAAATAGTTTATATTAATCACAAAAATATTCAAAAATTATAATGCGATGATAAAATTACAATCGACACCTTTAACTGGCCATTTTCATATTAAAAAAAAATGCAGTTTAAATTTTTTTTTAAAGAAAATCAAATACATTTTTCTTTTGGAATCCAAAGTTGTGCTCGTGCCATATCAAAATACATGTAGCAACAGAAAGTTATACACAACCAACAAATTCCAATGAGCAGATGATAGACTCATGTCTTTGTGCGTCCTACTATTCTTTCCAGATCTTCAAGCAGGTTGGTGGTCACAATATGCAGACCCTGGATCTCAGTGACCAAGCCCACCAGTTCATCACATGGATGAAGACAGGATGACACATTGCCCCCCTTTGCCCCACCCACACCTGTAGAGGAGTTACAAGTGTGTGGTCTGTGGTAGATAATACACTTGAGTCTGCATTAATGATATAAAAGGAGACAGAGATGCACATGCATCAAATGCACATGTGAGATGCACATGTGTCATACCTGCACACACAGCTGCTGCGTAGAGGAATATCAAAAACCAGGTGGAAAAACTCAGCAGTTTTGTTCCTGTTTACATATAAATCACCATGAAATATAACAACTATACAGCACCAGCACATAATACAAACAGAACTGCTATTGAGGAGATAAGAAGAAGAAGAAGAAAAAGAGGTAATTAACCTTGCATACTTGTGTACTCCTCCTGTTCTGCCTTTCTTCACAATGAGAAATCACTGCGTTGTGCTGTAGCTCCACAGGAGCTGTGATGGAATGTCGATCTCCTTCTTCTCGTCCTTATTTCCTTGTCTCCTTGTTCCTTTCTCACCTTGGCATCCAGAGCGAGGCTCACCAGTACAACTTCCTCAGCAGTTTAAAACAGCCAAAAGAAAGAGAAATCAGAGTGACGACCATTTAACAGCCTTTAGTTTTGTAGAAAGTTGTAATGCTGTTAAGGTATGTATTTGTTTGAGAGTGTGTGTCTGTGTCTCTGTGTGTGTGAGGCAGGAGCAAGGGCCATATATTAGTCGTCTGTCTGGCAATGAACTAGGTTGCGTATCTCCAGCAAGAGACCCAGCTGGATGGAAGGAATTGTGTGTGCGTGTGGGTGTTGACGGCTCTTTGCAGGTTTCTCAAACATATTATTTACGCTCTTTGCCCTCCAAAGTGAAACACACAAAAACACACATTCACACAATGAAAGATACATTTATTGGCTTATTGGATCTTCAAATTTTCCATTATTTTAGAATCAAGAAGCCTGGTATCACTATAAATCCCTGGTGAGAATATAAGTCTTGATGTGTGTGTTCATCTGTGTGTCCTTGGGACAAACTGCCTTGACGGCTACAGAAGATCATGAGCTAAATATGATCACACTGATGAAATAC